CGAGGACCTCGCCAGCAATTTTAGCAATTGCCTTGTTCTTAGACCCTCCACCGACGAGATAAACTCGGCGTGGTTGGGAAGGAAGTCCATTGCCAGGGCTCTGGGTAAGGTCTCGAGACCGCAGGCGCAGTGAAAGCAACTGGCTCTCGACGATGGCGCGGGCTTCATCCTCCGGCGAGTTCCATCCATCGGTCGTCTCTTGGAGACTTCCGGTGCTGGCATCGTATGTAAAGCGCCATTGGCCCTTGCTGATGTTTGGTACGATCTCGTGGCGCGGGAAGAACAGACCCATCTTCATCGGGCTCTTTGGGTTCTGCTGGCCCAATGGGGCAGTCTGCAGCGCAACCTTGTCAAAGTTATCCCAGGGATGGGCAGGAGTATCCTTCAAGCTCTCATTGATTGCGTCTCGGACGTGCTCACGGGCCAGGCCACCGTTCTTGTAACACAGCATGAACATGTACAAGCCGGGGGTAGTAGGATGGTTGAAGAAGTGTGTGGCTGGGTCGGGTTTGTAGCTGGGGGTGGACATGAGGAAGGTAGTAGAGGTGCCGAGCGAAACCATTGCGTCTGATGGCAGCAGTGGCAGCGCAAGAATGGTCGCCGGGTTATCGCCAGTTGCTGGAATAACCGTGCAATCGGGACTGAAGCCGAAACGCTCTACGAAATATGCATGAACGGAGCCTAGGTGTAGGCCTCCATCTTCTGGTACCTCGCCAAGCTTCTGCTTGAGATCCTCAACTCCAAACCCACCCGAGCAGAGTTGAATCAGGCGCTCGTCGTATGCCCCTTTCTTGATGTTCCACAAGTTCATCCCGCACACGTCGGAGATGTCGAATGGGGCTACATGGCCTAGGAAAAGCGATGCCAGGAAAGATGACACCAATGAGATTCTCGAGGTTTTCTTATAAATCTCGGGGTATTTCCTTGTGAACCGGAGGATTTGAGGACCTGTGAATCTCTAATGAAAGTGTCAGCAGGCCCCATATATACTTCATACTTTGAGCTTCTTACATGGTGTGCTTTGCTTCCGGTGGCCTGTGCCAAATCTTCGGGCTTGCCAAGAGCTGCATCAAACTCGTCACATTCTTTCTGGGTGCTCGAGTCTTGCCAATTGGGACTATATGGATGGGAGAAAGCGCCTTCCAACTGTGCCTCGAGGGACTTGGTAGAATCTAGATTACGGAGAAGTGACTCCGCATTCTGCCCCCAGTATACACTTCCGTGCTGTTGTCCCGCACCGCTAATTCCTTTTACGCGGCTGAAGTCGAGACCCTGTTTGCGCAGGCTTTCTAGCACACCGTCCAACGCTTGCAGCCACAGAGCGACCGGGGCAAACACCTCATGTTCGGCTTCATTATTCAGAACACCTTTTTTGATCGGGAACCCGTGCGAGTCGGCATCGAAATCGAACTTGGCAACGTGAACCACTTTAAGTTCGGAGTTGACAACTAATCCCTTTAATTGTTGGGTCGAGAGATCGAAACCAATGTAGAGGGGGGTATCAGATGCCATGGTGGAAGTGATAGATACAATTCCACGGGGGCAATAGAGTAAATAGAGTAAATAGAGAGAAGGATAAAGTGGGATATCAGCTTTAGGCAAAAATATTTTAAAGGCCGGGAAAAGAGTGTAGAAGTGCAAGCGGCAAGATTCCCCCGGGAATGAACCGATGATGTAAATGGACTATAACCGGTCTATGGAGACGCATTTTATATCAGAAAAAGTGGAAAGTAGAGACCGAGAACCAATTAGGATAAGCTTATGATTTTCCCAGGAATGTCAAGTCAAGCCCGAGGTTTTTAGCCGGGTAAATAGCTTTTTTTTTTTTTTAGTAGCTCTGCTAAATTCTCGGTAGAATTAGCCCCCCACTATATAGGTACTATTTGGTATGATCTTATATTTCAATCTATACACATAGATTCAAGGGTATCATGACAGAAATCTATCATTGTTGCTTCCGAGCTTGGAGTGTCTCGGGATCTCCACTAATATCCTGTGCAACGAACTCATCCGAGAACGTGAGGTCCTGATCTTCCGCCGGAATGAAGCGCACCTTGATTCGCTTCACACCACGAACTCCAGATCCAACAGCCGTGCGAACGGCCTCTTCGATGTGTCGCGACCGACTAATAGCCCAGGCTCCCGGCACCGCCAACTCAATATCCATGAGATAGTTTTGACCGGACTTCATGCCCTGCACGTCACGAACAATCACTTCGTGTCCATCCTCAAGGTCTTCCAAGGCCTTGGAGGCAGCATCCTCCACAGAGTGTCGAATTTCCTCATCAACCGTGGTATCCGCCAATTCCAAAAGAGAAGTACGTGTATTGCCCCAACCGGCTTTGATAACCATCAAGGAGATCAGGACTCCACCAACTGGATCCAGCCAGGTGGCGTCTTGGAAGACATAACTTCCTCCAATTGTGAAAAGGGCGACGATGCTTGTCAGGGAATCGATGCGATGGTGAACGGCGTTAGATGCGAGGACAGACGACTTGCGCTCCTCGGCAACCTTCATAGCTAGAATAAAGTTAGCCTGATGGATATGAACAAATCCCCCCTGTATGTCTGTACTTACTGGCATGGTAAAGCCACTCCTTAACCACAATCGAACCTGCTGCAATCCACGCCGCGTGGATGCTAGGACCAATTGGCCCATGACTGTGCGAATGACCATGCCCCAAAAGCCCAGAGTGAGCTACTGTTTCAGCCACGTCGGGGTAGAACTGAGCTAGCAGGACCTGTCCCGCGTTGAGACCCATAAACACTCCTCCGCAGAGCAGAAGTCCACTAACTCCCAGCGCACCGATGCTCTCGATTTTGCCATATCCATTGGGGAATCGTTCGCTCGGAGGTTTCAGGGACCAGGCGACTGTTCCCAGAGTCAAAAAGTCGGAGACGAGATCGGTGAGCGCGTGGTAAGCGTCGGCGATGAGAGCTTGAGAGTGAAAGACATAACCGCCAATGAATTTTCCAATTGCCATACACAAATTAGCGACGAGACCAATTCTTGTGATTCGAACACCAGCGTCGCGTTTGTTTGTGGAGGTCAAGTAGGTATTGTCATGGTGGTGATGATGACCGTGACCGTGGCTATGGCCATGGTCTCTAGTTTGCGTCATAGCGAGAGATGTTGCCGGACGTGGGATAGAACGAGGTCTAGAGTGAAAAAGAAAGGATGAAGCGTCTTTTAAGAAAGGTGCGGATGTAAGTATACGCCTCTGGGTAAGAGATCTGAAATTGGAGATCCTTGAGTGGAGAGGACGAAGCCTGCATAGGGGCTGCGTCAGCGGCATCACGTCGAGGGCACGCGAGCACAATAAAACGATTGGACAGAGTGTTCTTTTCTTTGTTAAAGACAGGGATTTTTTTGGGGTTTTTACATTTAATAAAGAGATGCAAGTGGGATGTTTCGATCAGGTCATCCGGTAATTCCCTTGATTTTCCGTTTCCAATCTCAGCGCTTGCATTTCTCATCTCCATGACTCCTATTGATCTCTTTGATTCGGACGACTACCCGGAGCCTATCAGAATCCTTCTTTATAGGCCTTTCATATTATTCCACTAGTAAATCCTTGACGAATCTTAAATCTTGGATACACTCTTACTACCCGCCAAGCTTCCAACTACGCAATCGTTGGAGAACCTCCGCTCTTCCGCCAAGACACGAATGATGTTGCGTCTTCAATGACGACGCCTGCTATTCGGATCCCCTTTACGGGACCATTACCACCTGCTATTATAATTCCTCGAACTGCAGCAACACTAGCAGGGGCAATCGATGCTGTCAGCACTTTCTTGACCGCGCCACCGTCATGGAATCTCCGAGGCGTCGATGTGGGGAGATATTCCCAGACGGTACTGCTGACTGGCGCAGGTATCTCCGTCGCGTCTGGTCTGTCGGATTATCGAGGCGACCAGGGTACCTACCGACTAAACAAATCCTATCGTCCTATCTACTACCACGAGTTCGCCGCCCACCATGAGTCGCGCAAGCGATATTGGGCGCGCAGTTTCATCGGATGGCCCGGACTTTTGAAAGCAAAGCCGAACTCGACTCATTGGGCAATCAAAGACCTTGGGGATAAAGGGTATATCAGTTCTGTGGTGACGCAAAATGTCGACTCGTTCCATTCCCTCGCGCATCCGGAACTGCCTACCCTCGAACTACATGGATATTTGCGATCTGTTGTCTGCACTAGCTGTCGAAATCAACTCCCCCGCGCTGACTTTCAAGCGTCGCTGGAGAGACTCAACCCAGCTTGGGCGGAGTTTTTGGCTCGTATGGTCGCAGAGGGTGTGCTGGACACCGATAATCAGGAGGAGCAACGGCAGAAAGGCTTGAAGCTCAACCCGGATGGTGACGTTGATCTCGCTGAAGCGCCATACTCTACTTTCCGTTACCCTTCCTGTCCGACCTGCTTGGAGAACCCTCCTACGCTGAGCGATGGCACGAAGGCGACTGTAGAGGTCGAGAGAGATGGCGCGTTGTCAGCGACTTCAAATGCGGGCATTCTGAAACCAGCAGTAATCATGTTTGGGGAAAATATTGATCCACTGGTGAAGACAGCGGCTGAAGAGGCGATTGATGATGCTGGGCGGCTACTCATCTTAGGTAGCAGCCTGGCGACTTTCTCGGCGTGGCGCCTAGTGGAACGAGCACACAAACGAGGCATGCCTATTGGTATTGTCAATGTTGGTGGCGTGAGGAACGAAGCCCTACTGTTTGAAAATATTGAACATGAACCCACAGCTCATGTCCGGTGTAGCCATCCAGCCCAGTCAATCCTCCCGACCGTTGTATCCCAACTCCCAGTCAATCGATAGATTCTAAAAAAATGATATAAAATAGACCGAAATCAAGACCATTGTGAAATAATACAAGGCCAGTAGCAAAAATATAAATATAAAATGTAGAGAGAATAAGCGCCTGAGGCAAAAAGAAAAAGGCCAATAAGTCCCGGGCCGCTCAACGCGGGGCTCCTCCCTCACGTCTCAGCATGGAGCACTTCAGGGATCCTCGCCCTTTAAAGATCGCCTCCAATCTGGTTTCTCCTGGTCACTTTCTCTTTTCTAAACCCAAACCATCGGGGCCACCGGCTTCCAAATCTACACAGAAAATGGACAAATCTCAGCAACCCAGTTCCTTCCAGCAGCTGGAAAAGGTAAGCCTATCTACTTTATGTCTTGGATATTCGCTAACTGTCTTATTTCTAGCTCGGCGAAGGCACTTATGCTACCGTACGTCTCGATCTCTCTCCGTTTCACCTCGATCCTAGCCTGATCGCCACTTTCCCCCATTCACCGCTGATGCAGAATACAGGTCTTTAAAGGGCGCAATCGCCAAACCGGTGAAATGGTGGCGCTGAAGGAAATCCACTTGGATTCAGAGGAGGGAACACCATCGACTGCAATCCGTGAGATCTCGCTCATGAAGGAGCTGAAGCATGAAAGTATTGTTTCGCTCTACGATGTCATCCACACGGAAAACAAACTCATGCTTGTTTTTGAGTTCATGGACAGAGACTTGAAGAGATATATGGACACTCGCGGTGATCGCGGACAGCTGGATCCTGCCACGGTCAAATCCTTTATGCACCAGCTACTCAAGGGTATCGCCTTCTGCCATGACAACCGAGTCCTCCACCGCGATCTGAAGCCACAGAACCTCCTGATTAACAAGAAGGGTCAACTCAAGCTGGGTGACTTTGGACTGGCGCGCGCCTTCGGTATCCCGGTTAATACCTTCTCCAACGAAGTCGTCACTCTGTGGTACCGCGCACCAGACGTCCTCCTCGGTAGTCGGACCTACAACACCAGCATTGACATTTGGTCCGCTGGCTGCATCATGGCAGAGATGTACACGGGCCGTCCGCTTTTCCCCGGCACAACCAACGAGGATCAGTTGGTCAAGATCTTCCGCCTGATGGGCACGCCCTCCGAACGTACATGGCCCGGCATCTCGCAGCTGCCAGAATACAAGTCCGACTTCCAAATCTACGCCACGCAGGATCTGTCGCTGATCATCCCCCAAGTGGATGCTATCGGGATGGATCTGTTGAACCGCATGCTCCAACTCCGTCCGGAGATGCGCATCAGCGCCAACGAGGCCCTGCAGCACCCGTGGTTCCATGATCTGCCTCAGATCCAGGCTAAATTGCAGCAGCAACACCAGCAGCAGCAGATGGCTGGTTATGGAGGCATGATCCCCCCGCAACCCGCTTATTAGCGTTCTAGACTGCGCATGACGAGATGACGAGCTCGATTAGACAATTGGACATGGGAGAATTCGGCGTTATACCCGATAATGGATTTTTTTGCATCCCTTTTTTTTTCTTTTTTCAACTTGATATTGCGGATTTTGGGGTAGTTTTTTTTTTTCAAAGATGAAGAATATCTTGCCTGGAGATGGATCGACTTCGGAACACCGTTCTGTTGTCTTGATGCTCTGAAGCAGCGCTCCAGATGTTATCAACCTTCTGCCTGTCGCTTTTTAAATAGCTATTCCTCGAGAAATGAATTCTACCATCCACTCCAAGCTATATTTATTAGCACACAGAGCGAGACATGTGAAACAAGCGCTTGGGCCCAGTGCAAATGTCCCCGTTGGAACTGCAATCCTCGGGGATATCTCGGCTTGTTACTGTAACTTGTACACCAGCCAAGGATTCTCGGAACAAGCTCATAGCTGCTGCACGCTTTATTAAGTGCCTGACCGTAAGTACCTAGAGCAACCCTTTTGAGCAAGCATTACCTTCGTTTGAATGTCTTGATGCTTGTTCGGAATAATCTTTCAAACATGCAGTCACCCGTATTTCAATCTGGTCTTTTGTGTGGAGTAACGACTGAGTGAAATCATCGGGGGAAAACTAGTTGTCACACACGGGCGACCTGATTTGATGATCTCACAAGGCCCCTAAATTCTTGTGTACTCTTGGCATATTCAGGTTACTTCACCATTAGACTCTAATAGACTCTAACAGCTGGAGGTAAAGACTGCCTAAAAAATAGCTCTCATCATTGGTGCAATTCAAAGGCTATGCATCCGAGGCTTTTCTATGCAGACCACTACTGGTCCCTTATCCAATCCCTTGCCTATTACCTATTTCGCAAATCCCGGCAGATTGCACGTTGTGGTACCACCCACACTGGAATCGTTCGCATGTCTTTCCCTGAAAGTACTGGCCTGAGCCCTGTCCCATGCGGTGTTTGAGAGATCATTTAAAAGATATCCTCCTTGGTTCTTACTCATATTCTTGGCAGTTGTTTGAGCCTAATCCTGTTGGGGCCGCGCTCTTTGTTATATGGCCGGTCAGGCTAGCATCTTCCTAGCTATAAGCCGATGAGGATAACAGCAATATGCTGATTGGGTTAGTCTTACCTTATTTGTCATTTCGGGGGGTTTTTTTTCTTTGTTGCCCGTTGCGGATAATAAGCAGGTGGTATTGTGCTTCGGTCATATCTACTCGAACCGTTTGCCTTCTGTTTCGAGGAACCATAACCCAAAAGTCCCCCTGGGTAGATCTATGATCATTTGCATATTCACAAGCAATTTTGGCTTGAATCCACGAGGGTCTTCTCGGCTCATATCGGCCGTTGGATATAACCTTTAGGTGCTGGGTGCCCTCCCCCTCGTGGTGACTAGGTAGATCATGATACCATGACGCTGTCAGAACGACAAATATTGGCCATCTCGGCCACAGAGCGGGTTTGCTCGACTATCTCACTCGTTGGCACTTTCGTTATAGTCGCTACTTTTATTTGGTCCCCTACGTTCCGTAAACCCATCAATCGCTTGGTCTTCTATGCATCATGGGGTAACATCATGGCTAATATAGCCACCATCATATCGGCAGACGGGATTCATTCGGGGGTTGATAGTTCCCTATGTCAGTTTCAAGGGTTTTTGATTCAATGGTTTGTATCATATCGGTAACTAGTCACCCTTAGCAGACGACCACTAATAAGCACGGATAGGTTCATGCCCGCGGATGCACTATGGACATTCGCAATGGCATGCAATGTCTACCTAACATTTTTCCACAAATACAACTCCGAGCAACTACGCCGGCTCGAATGGAAATATGTGCTCTGTTGTTACGGCGTCCCATTCGTCCCAGCTTTCGCATACTTCTTCATCCAGAACCAAGCCCGAGGCCGGATATATGGCTCCGCCATAGTAAGCAGAATCCAATGCCCTTCCTTCTACCAGTCTATGCTAATCCAATGACTCCCCGATAGCTCTGGTGCTGGATCTCTGCACAATGGGGCTTCCTCCGTATCGCCACCTTCTACGGACCAGTCTGGCTCATTATCTCATTGACCTTCGCCATCTACCTACGAGCAGGAACGGTGATTTACCAGAAACGGCGCCAGCTTCGGCACCTTGGCGGCATCGACTCGGACCTTGCCCCAGAATCTCCCTTTGCTATGTTGACCGGCATCCAAGTTACCAGGGAGATTGCCTGCTCTACTCCAGAACGCCGGTCCTTGTCGGAGGGCAATGCGCGCGGGTTGCCGTGTGCTGCGTTCAGAGCATACTCGGTCACGATCGAGGGCGGGGGCACCCCCAGCACGTTTCATGGTTCCAGCTCAAGAATCGGTCCAAGTCCTCCTCAGCAGGAGAATTCTAGCAAAACCGTGCGGCCGGATGGAATGGATTCACAGCGGAGGTCGACGTCCACGGAAACTAGTTCGGCTACTTGGGCGTATACGAAATACGCTATGCTGTTTTTCATTGCATTGCTTGTTACATGGGTAGGTCTGGTCAGATTCCATTATAGTCTGAAAACGGGTGTCGGTTCTTTTCGTGTGTTGATTGTTCGGCATTGCAGGTCCCCTCAACGATAAACAGAGTCTATTCCCTGGCTCGTCCTAATGACTTTAATTTCAGTCTGAACTATGCATCTAGCTTTGTCCTGCCGCTCCAGGGCTTTTGGAACAGTCTTATATACGTCTCTATCTCATGGCCCGCATTCAAATTACTTTGGTCTGACCTCCATGGCCGCATATGCTCGTGGCGCATATCCCGTTTGGTGACAAATACGCAATCCTTTCATTTACGGAAAAGCTCTCAAACCTCGAGTCCTGCTCTTTTGGTGAAAGCCGAGAATGAGGAGAACAGACGCCGGAGTTGGCTGGGCTTAGATCCGTCAAGTTAGGGCTGGGAGTTGGTTGATAGCTGAATGCCTCGTTTCCATTGCAACATACCATCTGCACTTCTTCATGTAACATATATACCTTTAATAGCAATGTCTAGTATTTAATGGAGTATGAAAATGAAAAACGTTCAAATATCAATGTAATGTACGACCCATCAATTCGATCTATAGAAACACGTGACCGGCGCGTCGCGTTGAAGTCCGTTCAACACCCCAGATCCAAATTCCCATAGAACCACAAACAGCTCCTACACACCACTCTCGCCATTCCCGCATGCTCTTCGTTTCTTCCCACTCTCCGACTATATCCCGACAGCAGCGACATCCACCATGGCCGAATCAAATTCCCGCCAACCGCCCGCGTCGCCGTCCCCTCCCCCACCAGCTCCAATCTCCCAATCCCCGGGCCCGCGCGCCTCACGCCTAAACCAAGTCTTCGAGCAGGCTCTGGCACGCACACTCCGCGCAAACTCATATGCGAACTTTGCAGGCTGTTTCCCGACGCCTGCGCGCCACGTTCCTGCCAGCTTAGAGGGTGTCTGGCGACAGCTGAACGCGAAGCTGGAAGCGAATGCCAAAGCTGAATTTGACGATATTGTCGCGGAAAGAGATGCGGTGCCGCACTTGAATGAGCTTGATCGGCTGGTTGGGGATGCGAGGGCTAGGAGGGATCAGGAGGGGGAGAAAGCCGAGGGACACGAGAGAACAGTGTATGTTGAATATGGATTGGGCCGTTTATTCGGACTATGTTTGTTTTTTGTCTTTGGTTCTGATTTCTAACTTTGCTTACTATACAGCGCGCATACACTCGGCGCTGAAGATCTATACAAAGCGCACCTTACGCCCTATCTGCAGGAAGCGCAGTCGACCCTCAACACCAGACTCGAGGCTACTCATGCGGAAAACGCGGAGCTTGCGCAGACTGTGCAGGCGCAGAGGCTGGAAATTGAGCGATTATTGTCGCATCTTGGATTGGTCGTTTCCGATATTGAGGGTGCTGCTACGGCGGCCACGCAATTCAGCAGACAACATCACATTCGCCAGGACGCGATCCAGATGGATGAGGAGGCGAACGCCCGTCCGGGTCTGTGAGAGCGTTGTGGAAATTGTTTCTCTATCCGATTCATGATGAAATCAGGGCACTTAATTCCCTGCCGTCAACCATTCCGTCTTCCACCATATCCTGCGCCACAACTATCACCTGTTGGAGGTCCGTTGATTTGAGCTGCTCGAGCTTCGTGTTCTGGCCTTCGATCGCCGCGGCAATCGCCTCCTTGCAAGTTCCGTCGCGTTCTTCCTCGGCCGCTCCGTCTCGGCGGGCTAGAGCTGTTGCTCCGCGGTAGTACGTCTGAGCGTTGCGCAAGAGCATAGCTCCGTTCTGCTTCGCCATGGCGTGGTTCCAGGGCGCTCGTCCAAGACGCCATCTGTGCATTTCCGCGTCTCCGCGACCAAGGTGGATCTTAGGCAAGTTCTCGGCATCCGGGAGCTTGGTAGCAGCTGTCAATGCGTCCAGGGCGGTTGAAAGCGACTTCCAACGCAATGCTACCACGTTTTCAAACGCCTCGTCATCCTCCGATGGAGGAAGGTCTGAAAGCGCCTGGTTCAACGACGTGAGCGCGTCTGCTTTACCACACAGTCCTTCAGGGTCCGCGGATACATCTAGCTCTGGACCAAAAACCTGTCCAACCTCCTGCTGATAGGTTTGGATATCGGTATGTCCGCCTCGGTAGAGCAAATCGTTCAAGGCACAGATGAACTTGGCTCGCGCTAAGGCCGCCTCATACTGCCTGTCTGAGCCTTCGGCATAAGCAGGCAGTCTTGAATGCACTAGCTCCGACGAGTACTCTTGCACCCAACCAACACCGCCCGCGCCGGGGTTCGAAGTCAACAAGTTGCACAGAGTCGTCAAAGTCTCCAACTGTGCCACCGCCGTGTCCACGAGCGTATTCTTTGTGACGGGCTCCACAATCATCGCCCACTGTTCTTGCTCCTCACCTGCGGGCTCGGATTGGGACTGCCCCGCGACTGGTGGTACAGCCTCCGGCTCCGGTGGTACACCCCCGGATTCCATCAGTTCGATCTCCTCTTGCATTTCTGTGTACTTCATCTCCTGTACCATCAAACACCGCTGGAACAGCTCGATCGCCTCTTGCAGATATGTCCCCGCCTGCATCTGCTCCTCTTCACCTGGATGCTTCAGGTTGGATATCAACTCCGCTAGACTGGTCAGCACCTGGCCCGAATTGAACAACACGTCAGCATTGTCTTGTTCCAGAGACAGCGCATCCCGGTGTGACTGCAGCGCAACCTGCAAGAGCTCCCCCTGTGGCGCTGGCAACTGAGCCGCTAGTTTGGGGTGCTGGGTGATTTCATATTGGACTCGTGCTCTGGGTGATGTGTTAGTAAAGGTAAACCTAAGATAATACCTCTCAATCATGGATAAAATTGAAAAATGTAAAACAATAACTTGTTTCGATATGTCGATTATACATACTTGTTGTAAGCTAGATCAAATGTCCCGGGATGTTTCTGTAGTCCTTCGTCATAGTTGGTGATGGCCCGCATAAAGAAGCGCATGGACTTGGCCGCGTCTCCGGCCCGCCATTTCTCGCCGGCTTCTTCTAACTCGACGCCGGCTGGAGAGGCAGTTAGTTTTTTTGACTATTATTTAGCTTATCAAGGTTCAAATACATACCTGCAAGAAAATCATCTGCAGTCACAGGTGCCTATATCAAACTGTATGAGATCATGACCAAGTTGTTCGGAGGTTATATTACTACCGCGTACCTGTTTTGAGACAGCCTTCTTCTTCGTCTTTGTCTCCCTTAGGAAGGATTTGGGCTTCGCCATATTTGCGGGAAAGCTGTTGATTGAATGAGGATCGACAGAGATGTGAAATTGAAGTAAATCCGGCAGAATCCGCGCGGTGTGGGAGTATAATCTTGCACCTCGACTACATGTAACAATGATGATAGTTATTGTTATTGTTTTAAGGTTTGATCCTTGTTAATATAGTAGTGTAAGACTTCTTTGGGCTATAGAATGTGCGACTGAAAGACTCTCAAAGCAGCCGGATTCTTCAGATCTGCATGAATGCCAAGACAAAAGCTGGCCGTGTTGGTGTACCGAGTACGGAGTAAGCTGCTTGGGTTTTGTTTCGTGTTTTGAAGGTAATACTGGTATGTGTTGCAAAAGGGGGTGTGTTGCCAGCTCCGTGTCTGTGTACTCCGTACGGAGTAAAAATGGTACATATATAGACCGAGGTATGTACTGTCCCTTGCTGCTATCTCGGCAGTAGCTACAGTACCTACAGTACAGGTACATAAATATTAATCTAGCCAGGTTTTATTCTCACAGAATAGAGAAATATAATAACTAAAATAATATACATAATACCTCCCTATACAAAGAACCTTGGAAAGTACCCGAGATGATCTCGCGTGGCGAACAGCACGTGGCAAAGATATTCCCGGTAAAGCTTTCTTGACATCAGAGAACGTATACATGTAAGGAATTTGAATCATTGAGTATGATTTGTGTATAATCATACCATATATCCACCTTGCAGTCTCTCATATGATTACGTCGATCTTTCAAAAAAAACCTTTCCACCCCTTTCCCATCTTTCCCCACCAATTTGACCCACCCCGTTTCAACTTCTCCTTTCTGTGACTCTATTTCTACTTCTGCACTGCATTGGTACTTTTGCGACGACATATCCCTCTACTGGACTGGGTATGTATCCCTTGGTTCAAGATCGCCAGGCACTAGGCCTCAGTAACACCCGCTAATAGGTCAATTCTGCAGACTGCATTCCATTTAAGGCCTTTTTTATACCTACAATTTGAAACCAAGCCCCTCTTTCGGCGCAAATTCTCCTTATAACAACCATATCACCTCCTAGCAATGGCTCGCCAACCTTCTCTCGACTCTGAGCGTCCCATCATGGCTCAATCGGTAGGACTCCCCCTTCCCCTCCACCGACTCTGCCCACGGGGCCTTGTTCACATTAGAACCGTGCAAGTCTAACCTGCTACAGAACCGAAACTCAAAGCGTTTCTCCACTGTCAGTGGAAGCCCGTCGCTGGCTGCCTCCGATCGCACAAACAGCACTCTACCCAACGGCGACCCCAGAATCGCCGACATCTTCCAACTCCACGATGGCTTCGAGCGCCTCGAGAACAAGCCTCTCACCAAGCAGCGATTCGTCCCCACGGAGGAGAAGTCGAACAACCTAAACAAACTTGCTCTTGGGGCTAAGGTCGAGCGTGCTCTCGGCCGGAGGATGACTAGCCAAGACGCTGTCATGCGCAAGCCTCTCTCTGAGAAGACTGAGGCGCGTACTGACTCGCCCTGATTGTGGCGATACATCTAGGAGACACAATGACTTGCCGTGTGCTTTGTTCGCCTGGTTGACCGTCTCTGATCGTTGGCTTGTTTCTTGTTCCTTATTTCTACCTTTTTTTCTCTCGTCCCAACATCCGAGCCTCTATCAACATGGCTCTTATGATTGTCTTCTTTTTTTACAGTCACCCTTTTATGTCCTATCATACCCCTCTTTCTTTTTTTCGGATCAGTTTGTGGCGTTTTGACTTGAGATGCGCATTATTTCCTTGAGTATGAAATTCCGGATCTGGTATTTTCTTTTCTCTTTTCCTCATGTATCTTGAATATGATATATTCCATTTCATCTGTATTTCTTATAGAATTCCCTACTATCTAGCGTATACTATGAATTCTGCCGGGCGGTGTCCACCCGCCAAGACCACGCGAAACCCGCACGGAGTCGAAGAGAAGGAAGTTCTTTTCTTCGAAGGCGAATTCCCACAGCTTCATTTCCATCTCTTTTTTTTGTTTCCCATTTTCTACACTATCCTCCCCCCACACGCCTCAGTCCATCTTCCAGGACCCCACATTTTCTCGATCTTCTCACTTTTGCCTCTCCAACCTCCCTTTTCGCGCCACCGTAAGAACTCTCTTCTCACTTCAGCTATACTTCC